TTTACATCACTTGATGATTTTGGATGTAGAACTTGGATAATTGATATAGGCGCCAGTAATCATATATGATATATGCACAGACATTAATCAAATGACCAATGTTAAGCCTGTCACACAGTCAACCATTGTTTGTTTACCCGATGGTTCTATTAAACATGTCAAATACATTGGTTCAGTCACTATAAATCAAAGATTACATCTCACCAATGTGTTACACATTCCCACATTCAAATTTAATCTATTATTAGACCCAAAATTAACACAAACAGCAAATATAAAATTCATTTTTCACCCTACTCATTGCTCCCTACAGGACCTGAAGAATGAAAAGACTTTAGCAATTGGAAAACTGACTGGGAAGTTATACGTGTTAGACGATGATAGTTTTCAGGAAGAGAAGATTGAAAGTTGTAGCAGAGAAGCTATTTCTTGTAATAAATTATATGTTAGAGGTTCTAAAACTACTGATGGAATGTTTCATATCAATAAAGCTTCTTCTATTTCTATTGTTGATTGGCACAATAGGTTAGGACATGCCTCATATCAATGTCTTAAGCATTTAGATTTTCTTAGTCAATTCTGTAATGCCTCAGCCATTGAATTTTTGCAGCCATGTAACATTTGCCACAAAGCAAAACAGAGCAGGTTGTCTTTCCAGAATTCTCAGATCCATACCGATTCCATTTTTTATCTTTTACACATTGACATTTAGGGTCCATATAAGCAATACACTCTTACAAGAACCCCCTTCATGCTTACCATCGTGGATGATTTTTCTAGAGCCACATGGACCTTCATGTTGATTCAAAAATCCCAGACTGTAAAACTCTTGAATCCTTTTTTAAAATGGTCAACATTCAGTTTAAAAAAAATGTCAAAGCCATAAGAACCGATAATGGTAGTGAATTTACTGGCCATGATTGTCAAGTTTTGCATCAAACTCTTGGTATTTTGCATCAAAAATCATGTGTTTACACTCCACAACAACATGGAGTGGTGGAAAGAAAACATAGACATTTGTTAAATATGGCCAGGTCCCTCATGTTTCAAGCTGACTTACCTAAGCATTTTTGGTCATATTCCATTCTTATGTCTACCTATATCATAAATAGGATTCCTAGTTCCATCCTTAAATGGAAAACTCCTTATGAAATTCTGCATGGAACAAAACATGTCATGTCTTCACTAAAATTTTTTGGATGTCTGTGTTGTATCACAAACACTAAACCTCACAAGGATAAGTTTGATTCCAAGGCTCATAAGTGCATTTTCATTGGTTTTAGCCCTGGGCAAAAGGCTTATAAGGTTTATGATCTTTCCAGCAAACAAGTTCATGTCTCAAGGGATGTTATTTTTTATGAAAACATCTTTCCTTTTAAATCTAAACATCAACCAGTCACTCATATACCCTTACCTATAGAATCTCTTTTCGATGACTCCTCCAAAAATCCTTCTGTGGCCTCTCACAATTCTCCTCACACTGATCACAATAATTCTGACTTTCTTCAAGAACAATTGCCAGATTCTTCTTCTATTAACAATTCACCAAACTCCTCTAATTCCGATCCTCATCATTTGCCTATTATACAAGTTATTTTCTTTGATTCTTCTGTTACTAAGTCAGATGATGTACCAGAACTTAGGCATAGCAGTAGACCGGGAGTAAAGCCGGCTTGGTTGGATGACTATATCACCAATGTAACTGAAATGTCAATAACTCCAATTGCTACTGTCCAAGCTAGCCTTGATACCACTAAGCTCAGTTCACAATATACAACCAGCACATTTCCATATTTTATTTCACCTTATTTACATCATGCATATATTACTTTTCTGGCCAATGTATCAAATGTTCAAGAGCCGCATACTTATCATCAAGCATGTAAGGATCATCATTGGGTGCAAGCCATGAATAATAAGTTGAAAGCATTGGAGGAAAATAATACTTGGGAGTTGACTTTTTTACCTGCTGGGAAGAAAGCCATATGGTCTAAATGGGTTTATAAGGTCAAGCTAAATCCGGATGCGACTACTGATAGATTTAAAGCACGGTTAGTCGCAAAGGGTTATGATCAAATGGAGGGAGTAGACTTCTTTGAATGCTTTTCCCCTGTGGCCAAGTTAGTTACGGTGAGAATTTTTCTTGCCATTGCTTCAGCAAAATTATGGCCCATTCATCAGCTCGATATTAATAATACTTTTTTACATGGGTATCTTGATGAAGAAATATATATGGCACCACCAGCTGGATACACGCAGGCTTTGGAGGGGTAGGTTTGTAAGTTGAGAAGGAGTCTATATGGTTTGAAACAGGCTTCACGTCAATGGAACATTGAACTCTCTCATAAACTCACTGATTACGGTTTCATTCAATCTCAGCATGACCATTGCCTTTTTATTCATCAATCTTTTGGCCATGGTATTTTTCTTTTGATATATGTGGATGACATACTAATCATCGAAACTCATGAATCAGACATCATTTCTGTCAAGCAATTTTTGCATTCCAAATTCACCATTAAGGATTTGGGATATGCAAAAAAATTTCTGGGGCTCGAAATCGCTAGAGGCAAGGATGGAACATATGTCAATCAAAGAAAATACATTCTGGACATTATAGCGGATGCAGGTCTTGCAGGTGCGAAACCTGTTGAAGTTCCAATACCTAAAGGTACGAAGTTGTCTCAAAATGATGGTGCCCTCTTTCCAGATCCAACTAAGTATCGAAGGTTGATTGGCAAACTTCTATATCTAAATTTAACAAGGCCGGATCTTACATGTGGAATACAACAATTGAGCCAGTTTGTAAACAAACCTTGTCAAGTACACTGGGATACAGCAATGCACTTATTGAAATATTAGAAAGGTTGCCCTTCGACTGGTTTATTTTTTCTTGTTCAGCAAGAGCTTTCTTTATCTGCCTACTCTGATGCGGATTGGGCCTCTTGCGTTGATACTCGACGATCTCTTACTGATTTTTCCATCTTCTCGGGCACTACTCTGATTTCCTGGAAAACCAAGAAACAAACCATCGTGTCCAGGTCCACCGTAGAGGCTGAGTATCTATGTGCTTGCAGATTTTAAGATCAACATACCTCTATCGATTCCGTTGTGGTGTGATAATAAGTCTGCCCTTCATATTACGGCAAATCCCCTTTTTCACGAATGAACCAAACATCTTGAAATTGATTGCCACATTGTACAGGACAAGTTCGAGGAAGGTTTTGTGCTTCCCCAATTCATCTCTTCTTCCCATCAACTCACAGATGTTTTCACTAAGGCTCTACCTCCTCCTCCGTTTCATCTACTTACTGACAAGCTTAGTCTCAAGGTTCTTCATCTTGTTCCCTCTTGAGAGGGGGATGAAGGATTTATTAATTTCTCTATTTTCTTATTCACGTGTTTTGGCTTTCTTTTAGTTAGTTAATTAGTTTGCCATGTGTCACTTTCTTATTGCTCCATTTCTGTTTAAATGCTTTGAACTTTCTTTGTTGAACTTGACTTTGAGATAAAATAAAACTCAGTGAAAACGCAACATTCTCACCTGCTCAAATCGTACTCTTAGAAATTCAATACAAACACAAACATATAAGCACTTTGGGAAAACCTTTTTATTTGATTAATTCATTTTGATGCATATACAAGACTAGCAAAGTTTCTGATTGTATCGCACTGTCCTTGCATCGGAGAGTACACTTCTATTAACAAACCTTGTTGATTCCGAATCACCTTCCTTTCAATGGAGTTCTACAAATTGAAAAAAAATAAAAAAGAGTGTGACAGCCCAAATTATTATGTAAAATATTGGACATATATCAAGCTTAATTATGTTGTGTTGGCAGTGTTGCAAGAAAAAGAAAATGGGGCTTGGTTCAACTATTCAAGACTTCAAGTTGCTGGATTGGGTTGATTTTGCTAATAAGAAATTAGAATCAATCATGCTTTTACATTTAAATGTTCTAAAATCAGGAATTTGAAAAAATACAAATCAGATACCGCTTAAAAATCATAGAATACCCCACTTCCTCCCTATCTTTTACGTCCCCACCTCCAACCCTTCCTCCCTCAGTCTTTCTCGCTTGTCATTATGTCGCCACCACAACTATCTTCTTTAGCAGCGGTGAACTTATGAAAAAATAATTATAGATAACTATGTACAATTTAAAAACATATTTTGAGATATGGCAAAATGGTAGTATATCAGATTCTGCTTTAAAAAATTTCAATTAATATTAATTTAAATACCAATTTTAATCTTCATTAATTAAATTAATTCTTCTTCTGTCCCAGATTAATTTATATTCTAAACATAACACATGCTTCCATCATTAAACTTTATTTGAATGTTTTTTTCTACTGATGATGATGATGTTGTTGTTATGTGATATTTGGAACCACATAATTCGCAATGAAAATTTTCTGTAGTTAAGTGATATTTGGAATAAACAATAGAAGAAGAACTTGGGTAACAAAAAACATAATTATTTGATATTCATTTCCATGCACGTACAAAACTAGCAAATGTTATGATTTCTCCACTGATATTACAACTGTCCTTGCACCTTAGAATCGTAGTTCCCCTTCTGTCAACTTAACTTCCGTAATACGAAGGAGAAGATGGATTTTCTCATGGCTGTGCCTCGAAATTATGGGACTGAATGCCTTCATTCATCGGAATCCTGCACGTTGGAATAATTTATATAAGTATACAACAATTTAAACTTGTGTATGAAACACTTTAACCAGTTTATTCAAGCCTGCATGATCCAGAATTACTTCCCAAAGTTGGTTTTTTGATGAGTTTTTTCTTCCAGAAAACGATGCATCCCGTGAATATTGTCATTTAGAACTTAAGAAAATAAAAACTTACGTATTGCAGTCTACGTCTGGGCTAATGGGAACATTAATATTAAGCTTGCAAAGCTGGGGAATTTGTTGTGCTCTGTCTAGATTAACACCAAACGTCAATAAAGCTTGTTTAAGACACTCGCAGACAATTTTACGGTCTGTTAGGGAATTAGCGACACTTTNAATTTTACGGTCTGTTAGGGAATTAGCGACACTTTTAAACAAGGTCTGAGCACCCTGGCAACAAGGGACACTAATATCGCCAAATCCCAACAGAAATGCCTGGCACGGCAGCAAGTCCGTTATGGCCTGTGTACATGAAATGTCATCTGCAGAGATGGCAGGGAAGAAGGAAATCAGGGCCAAAACCACAAGCCCTGCTAAAGAAGTACTCAATCTCAGTGCCATTTTCTTAATTCAACGCTTTAGGGTAGAGTTGGCTCTTAGGGTTTTTGTGTTTGTAGTGGTGAAGTTTGCAAGGAAAAGGCTCTATTTATATTGAAAGGATTGGTTCAGATTCTATTGGTGCAATCCCAACGGGGGTGGGGAAGACCTTATCATTATGAAAATTATAGCATGAAAAATCTGTCTCTCTGTAGAAAATATTGCAAAAAAATTAAAAGGCCAGGTTGGACATTAAATGCAACAATATAATGCAAGCACGAAAAAATCTCATATATGATAAGAATTAATTAAAATCTACATAATCTAACTTTATCCGTTTTAATCTATATGAGGAGATAAATTAAGATTTAGATAATGCGTGATGAAGGCAAAATAATAATTCCATTTAATTTCGGGTTTGTTCGTTTTTAGCAAATTACTAGTCTAATTTGATTGGTTCTGTTAGGGAATTAGCGACACTTTCAAACAAGGTCTGAGCACCCTGGCAACAAGGGACACTAATATCGCCAAATCCCAACAGAAATGCCTGGCACGGCAGCAAGTCTGTTATGGCCTGTGTGCATGAAATGTCATCTGCAGAGATGGCAGGGAAGAAGGAAATCAGGGCCAAAACCACAAGCCCTGCTAAAGAAGTACTCAATCTCAGTGCCATTTTCTTAATTCAACGCTTTAGGGTAGAGATGGCTGTTAGAGTTTTTGTGTTTGTAGTGGTGAAGTTTGCAAGGAAAAGGCTCTATTTATATTGAAGGGATCGGTTCAGATTCTATTGGTGCAATCCCAACGGGGGTGGGGAAGACCTTATCCTTATGAAAATTATAGCATGAAAAATCTGTCTCTCTGTAGAAAATATTGCAAAATAATTAAAAGGCCAGGTTGGACATTAAATGCAACAATATAATGCAAGCACGAAAAAATCTCATATATGATAAGAATTAATTAAAATCTACATAATCTAACTTTATCCGTTTTAATCTATATGAGGAGATAAATTAAGAATTAGATAATGCGGAATGTTGATTATTATTTATTCAATAATGCTAGATGTACATTTTTTATACATTTTAGTTGACATTCCTCCTATTTGGCATAATCTGGATAGTAAAATGTTGTTGGTGAAATCAAAGGAGATAATTGTGCCATGTATAATGTATATGTTGGAATTTTGTATTGGAAATTGGTTGTGACCAATTGAAATAATTTAAGTGGAAATTCCTTGTTTGGTGAATGAGAAATTAAGCCAAACTTAAACCATTTAATACTTGAAATTATTGGAATTGTGTAGAATATTGTGGAATATTCTAGAGAATGTAGATGAAAAGATGTGTCTTTTCATATGGATCATGACTTTTGGAGAGCATGACGTTTGGTATGAATAATTTCCAATAATTATGATTATTCAAGAGATGTATCTCTTGGTATGGATGTTCCAACTACTATATATATGGATTCCCTATGTGTTTGGATTAAC